TGCTAGTATCAACAGTGTCATTTTGTAGAACAATGTACCKATTATCAAGCACTGTGATCACATAAACACACAGCCCATATTCCTCATCTAAAAGGTGATCTCAAAACTCCTTATCCTCAACTTCTCTGGCCATAAAACTACTAAATATACCATAAGCATCATCATAAGGGAGATATCCAAATGCTTGAGATCCATCATAACATGCCAATAGCTGTCTAAGAATATATAACAGACCTTCCAAAATCCGCGTTTTTATGGTGTTTTTCCTAAAAAACACGGCAAGTCCTTCGAGCTTTTCCTCATTCTCATGTACTTTACGGGATTGCATTGATTTTCTTAGATTTTCTGTCAATGAAGACTTTAACCTTTTTTGCTTCTTTTTTCAGAGAAAGTTAACTTTTCTTTGTCATTTTTGGATCTCAAATCAACTTCTTTATCTACATTTAGTTCGTCAGCCATTTTGCTTTAGTACACTAAATACTGGCATACATGAAGTAGTAACCTATATACTGCTGTCCAAAATGCCCGACTGCTCATAAATTACTCATTCCCTCTCTGTCGACTGTTGTCAGCTAGCTATCATGGCAAGTAATCGAGATAGTGAATGTACAATGTCAAATGATCAGCCAATATATAGTTTTCTCAAGTTTGCAGACTTGGGAAAGTATGAGGCAATATTTCAAAGCTTCGGTGTGCACAAATTTGAGCATCTGAATGATGTTCAAGTTGAAGATTTACACAAGTTTGGTAAGTTTGTATTATTAGGATTATTATCAAAGCTTAAGCTCTTTATAAATCGATCATTGCTGTAATACTGTACTATTAATAGGATTTACTGGTATTGAGATACGACGCTTTGCTCGAAAAAAGCAAGAATTTGGATCACAGTGTCCCAACAGTAGCACTGTTGATGCGGATACAGGCAGGATTCAAGCTCAGTAGATCGACCCACTGATTGGCAACATCAAGGGACCTCTGAGTCTACGACCATATCGACCACCTCCTGCATGGAAAACAACATCGATGGGCTTTGTTCCTAATGCCACAACAACAAGAGCGGTTTTCATGAATTCCTTCCTTCCTGAATTGTATCAAGCAAAGTTTAACTCAAAAAATGCCAAACACTTTGTTAAAGAATTCCATGGTACTGGAAGACAATTGTACCAATCAATGCAGCACATTGATGTTCTAGAAAGGCAAATTGACTCTTTAATGAGCAAAGACAACCCTGCTGCAGTTGGAGCTGTGCTTGACAGCGATTATAGCTTGGTTCCTAGTGATAGTATCAGGATTACTAACAACATTCAGAAGGCTGAACAAATAACCACGAAGCTGATATCTGTTTGCAATGAAGTGAAAGCTATGGACAACAAACTGTTTAATACTTCACGAAAATTATGTTATGGAGAGGAAGCTACCCATAAGGCTTTTGAGACMCAGCTTGGCAAAATCRCCTTTCTCCAAACCAAAGTAAAGGACATTCATGACCGCCTTCTTAAGCTGAAAGAAAAGTGTTCAAGGCTGTTTACTGTGTCATATGTTAAKCAAATGAGCAAAAAGAGAAAACAAAAGCAGAACAAAAGAAAAGCCAAAAAAGCTAAAGAAGTAAGAGGAGAAGCCAACTGTCAAAGAGTTGTTGAAATCATTGCCCCCCAGCANGATAAGTGGGTTATCCAAGGCACAGAAACCATATGTCCAGCTGGCTTTTGAGAAAGGGGTATTTACAAAAGAATCCCAAGATATCATTAAACAATATTTACGTTTTAATCTTGATGAAATTGATGATGATGATGAAGAAAGTGATCATAATAATTCTGATGACCATTCTGATGATCATTCTGAGGATCATTGTGATGATCATTCTATGACACAGGAAAGATCGCTGACCAGTTAAAAATATGAAGTCAACAACCTTGTTAATGTTTTGAACTATAAAATGCTCTACTTTTTATATAYAGCTATATCAATATCATCAAAGTATATATTATCAGAGTGGAGGCTCTTGATATATTTTGGACTAGTTGGAATTTTTTTCCATAGGTCAGATGCTAAAGCTTTAACAGTTTGTCTTCCTAGACAGTGTATTCTAATTTTTTTGTTGTGAAGCTATTGATGAGATCATACCTAGGGCCATATCTGTTCATTTTTTGGCAAAATCAAAGTAATCATTAGGAGAAGGATATATTTGATACATGTTAATCTAAAAGTAGTGCACACAGTAACTACATTTAATATACTTTCAGTTTGTTGCTCTGGCTATTTGAACCGAATAAAACACTTGTTTCTGATCTGCTTTATATCCTATATAAACCAGTTTTTGTATGAACTCAAGCATAGATTTTAACAACCCTCCCCTTTAATGTGCTCATTTTTTCTCTTTTAGAGTCTTAAAAAGTTATGACCCTCCCCTTGTTTCCACCCCCCCTCCCCCCTGTTAATTTCTGACCAGTCCCTAATGTCCTTATTTGAGGTTAACACTCAGGGTTTTATTCATTTTTTTCTTCTGAAAAGGAAACAATTAAATTAATCCCTTTTGACTAGTCATTTAAAAAAAGGTGTTTGAGCTGTGTAATTCGCTGAGCTTCTTTTGCCGAAAACAAATKCCATTTACACCTACCGACCATTCGCTTTATGGGAGTTTCGCAAAACTGAGTCTTGCAAAGTCCYGAAGCTAAGGCTATTTACACCTACCGACCATTCGCCGTATGGGAGTTTCACAAAACTGAGTCTGATCTTGCAAAGTCCCGAAGCTAAGGCGATTTACACCTACCGACCAGTCGCCGTATGGGAGTTTCACAAAACTGAGTCTTGCAAAGTCCAGAAGCTAAGGCCATTTACATCTACGACTTATGTAAATATCTACAAAACAATTCAATAGTCCATTTTCGATATTCTTGTTGAGCGTGAAATGCACAATATGGAATTGTAGGTGTGAGTTCGGGTAAACAAAAGAATGATTTATTTTTCCCCTTTAACCTCGTATGTGTTTCTGTTGTACATGGTTACCCAGGTTTAATATCGAATATGGACTATTAATACCTGTTAAAAGTTGTTTGAAATGACCCTCATAAGTTTGTGTAACTTCTAAGCAAAGTTCTCTTGCCAACAAAAAGGATAAATACCAAAAGATAACTGAAGGGGAGTTTCCCAGAACTGAGTCTTGCATTTACACCTACCGACCAGTCGCCGTATGGGAGTTTCACAAAACTGAGTCTTGCAAAGTCCCGAAGCTAAGGCCATTTACACCTACCGAGCAGTCGCCATATGGGAGTTTCACAAAACTGAGTCTTGGAAATAGGAAATGAAGTTGCCATTTATATATACTTTGTTTACGTGACCTTTGCAGATCGTGAGGTGAACAAAATGAGCACGAAATATTCGCTAAACCATGAATTGAGCAACTATTTGTTTAATTTCCGATAATATATAACACAACAAAAAGGAATTAAATATCGCTTGATCAACTATTTCTGGTTACGTTTACATTGTAAGCGACATTACTATGATAGTTGAGGTCCCTGAAACGTTAGAGCATTAGAGACATGCGTGACGGCAAACATGCATAGCCTATTGTGTATGTTTCGTATTAAAATGGCTTTCCTCGAT